TGAGGCTCTGGGTTTGATTCCTCAGCACCACATAAGCAAAAAGAAAAAAAGCCGGAAGTGGCGCTGTGGCTCAAGTGGTAGAGCGCTAGCCTTGAGCCGAAGAGCTGAGGGACAGCGCCCAGGCCCAGAGTTCAGGCCCCACAACCAACAAAGAAAAACAGAAAAAGAAAGGCTAGCCTCTGGAAATCCAGGAGAATAGAGATGTGTACAGACCCAGGAATCCCAGGGTGGGTGTGGGGAACCCTAGTGAAGGTGTCCAGAAAAGCTACCTGAACTCTGAACAGGCATGAACTGCCCGTCTTCTGCCTCCACAGCATAAATGGTGGAAGAAGGTTAATGTCCCACAGAGGCACATTTTCCTGTCCAAGGTAGATGTCCAAAAGCAGTGGATGCAAATGACAATGAGTACAGGGTTTAGTCAGTGTAGCCGAAATCTGGAGACATCTCAGGTGTCTTACCAATGAGAAACATTGTCAACTACAGCATTTTTTATTTTTAAAAATTTTTTTTGTCAGTCTTGAACTCACAGCCTGGGTGCTTTCCCTGAGCTCATTCCCTTAAAACTAATGCTCTACCGCTTTGAGTCACACCTCCACTTCACATTTTCTGGTAGTTAGTTGGAGATAAGAGTTTCATGGACTTTGCTGACTAGGGCTGGCTTTGAACTGCAATCCTCAGATCTCAGCCTCCTGAGTAGCTAGGATTATAGGCATCAACTACCACCAGTGCCCAGCGATTATAGCATATTAATATGATGGAGTAATATATACTATATAGCAGTGACAAGAACAAACTACTCATCACACACAAAGCATGAGGGGGAGGCAGAAGCAGGAAGATTGTTGAGTTTAAGACCAGCTCAAGCTGGGCACTGGTAGATCACCTGTAATCCCAGCTACTCAGAAAGCTAAGATCTGAGGATCATAGTTCAGAGCCAGCCTAGGTAGGAAAGTCTGTGAGACTCTTCAATGAATCACCAGAAAACTGGAAGTGACACTGTCGCTCAAAGTGATAGAACTCTAGCCTTGAGCACCAAAGCTCTCATTAAAGCCCCATGAGTGACCCAAAAAAAAAAGCAGTAGCAAAGGCAATGCCATTTCTTCATTCTCTTACCTCTGCAGGGAGGGATATAAGACATTCTTCAACACACTACATCAAAACAACATTCCCCTTTTCATCTTTTCGGCGGGCATTGGTGATATCCTGGAAGAAATCATTCGGCAAATGGGCATGCTCCACTCCAACATTCACATTGTGTCTAACTACATGGACTTTAATGAAGAGGTGAGCCATGTCTCCTCAGGGCACGAGAGGGAAGAGGGGTGGGGCAAACAGACTGTTGCTTTACGCTTTACCAAGGGAAAAAAAGGAGGGGAGACTTCCTTACATTTGAGTGTAGGTGTGTGTGGGAGGAACCCCAGATGGCACCTACAGCCTTATGCATGCTCAACAAATAACCACTGAACTACACCTCCAGGCCAGGTGAACAGTATTGTTTATATCACAGGTTCTGTGTTTGTTCCAGAAGAGATTATCAACTCTTTCATGGCCTCTGTTAGACTAAAGCAGGAGTGACAAACCTTGCCTATAAAAGGCCAGAGAGTAATTAGGCTCTGTGTCCTGCCATCTCTGTTACACTTACGGCCGAATTTGCTCTTTCTTCTTTTTCTTTACTTTTTTTTTTTTTTTTTTTTGGTCGGTCATGGGGCCTGAACTCTGGGCCTGGGTGCTCTCCTTCAGCTCTTCAGCTCAAGGCTAGCACTCTACCACTTGAGCTACAGCGCCACGTCCGGCTTTTTTCTATTTATGTGGTGCTGAGGGATTGAACCCAGGGCCTCATGCAGGACTCCTCTGACAGAGAGTGGAAAACTGGTGCTGTATGGGTACCCTGTGGCTCCACTGTCTAACTCATCTTGATGGTTTAGGGTTTTCTACAAGGATTCAAGGGCCAGCTCATCCACACCTACAACAAGAACAGCTCTGTGTGTGAGAACTCCAATTACTTCCAGCAACTGCAGGGCAAAACCAACATCCTCCTGCTTGGAGACTCTATGGGGGACCTCACTATGGCGGACGGGGTTCCTGGTGTACAGAACATCCTCAAGATTGGCTTCTTGAATGACAAGGTAGTTCGGAGCCACTGGTTCCTTTCTTCCCTAGGAATTGCTACTATCAAATGCTCTTCAGTACCCACTATGTCCAGATACTACATGCAAGCCAGTCTTTTTCTTTTTTTTTTGCCAGTCCTAGGGCTTGAACTCGGGGCCTGGGCACTGTCCCTGAGCTGCTTTTGTTCAAGGTTAGCATTCTACCATTTGAGCCACAGCACTACTTCTGGCCTTTTCTGCTTATGTGGTACTAAGGAATCAAACCCAGGGCTTCATGCATGCTAGGCAAGCACTCTACCACTAAGCCACATTCCCAGCCCATTGCAAGCCATTCTCTCAGAGTGTGTAGCATGGAGATAGCCAGTGATTACTACTATATGCTTCAACCGCGCAGACTAAGCTTCTAGCTCGGGGAGAGGGTCATGTTGGCCCGTCATGGCAGTCTACATACCTGTGTGCTCATTGCATGGAAAGCTTACTCTAAATGTGTTACAGCCAAACACTCATGTAATCCTTTTTTAGTGTGTTTGCCAGACCTGGGCTTAAAACTCAGGAAGCTGTCCTGAGCTTTTATGTTCACTGCTAGTGTTCTACCACTTGAGCTACAACTCCATTTTTGTGTTTTTTTGGTCGTTAATTGGAGATGGCAGACTTATCTGCCTGGGTTGGCTTTGAACCACAATCATCAGATCTCAGCCTCCTCAGTAGCTAGGATTATAGGCGTGAGCCATCACTATCTGACCAACTCAGTTTCCAAGTGTAGTGCAATCTTGATCAATGTCACCCTTTTCATCATTCTCCTCCATCTCTCCCAACCCTGCCCATCTCAAGTTACCTAGTTCCATATGCACATTGAATATTATAACTACATTTGCCCATCCTCCTCTATTTCCCCCTCCCCTTGACTCCTCCTCCCCCTACCCCCAGTCAGCACATGTTCAGAATGTAGAGAACTAAATAGCATGAGTAGACCAGAAACTGGCAGGGATGGGAACAGGATGGTCCTAAAGGTACAAAGTACAGAGCATCCAGGTGGTCCATCCATGAGAGTGTTTGATTTCCACAAAGCAGGGGCTGGAGCTTGCCTGATGTTTGACCCATATGGCCTGAAGCCAGGTGCCAGTAGCGCACACCTGTAATCCTAGCTACTCAAGAGGCTGAGATCTGAGGGTCGAGATTCAAAGCCAGCCTGGGCAGAAACCAGAAAACCAGAAGTGATGCTTTGGCTCAAAGTGGTAGAGCACTAGTTTTGAACGAAAGAGGCTCTGAGTTCAAGCCCCTCTCCCCCTCCAACCCCCCCCCCAAAAAAAGAAAGAAAATGTAGCCTGAGTAAGTCAGAAGTTGTACCTCAGTCTTCTTAAATTCATTACTGTCTTTTTTACACGGATCCAGGTTGTGGCAGCCCTTGCCCCTCACACACCCACCCCTCTGTATCTCTTAACAGAATACAAGTCTTTGTAACCTTTTTTCCTTTTTTTTTTTTTTTTTTTTTGTTGGTCCTGGAGCTTGAACTCGGCCTGGATGCTGTTCCTGAGCACTCTACCGCTTTGAGTTACAACTCCACTTCTGGTTTTTGAGTGGTTAGTTAGAGATAAGAGTGTTAGGGGGACTTTTTTGCCCAGGCTGGCTTTGAACTGTGATCCTCAGATCTCAGCCTCCTGAGTAGCTAGGATTATGGGCATGAGTCCTTGGCTTGCAGCAGGTCTTTGTAACCTCGAACTCATGCTTGCACCCTCTGCTGGGCCTTATGAAAATAAAAGGCCCAGGGTGGAGCATTTTGGGCCTTCTTGGTCTCCTTCCCCCTCCTGCTGCAGGTGGAAGAACGGCGGGAGCGCTACATGGACGCCTATGACATCGTGCTGGAGAAGGATGAGACCCTGGACGTGGTCAACGGGCTGCTACAGCACATCCTGAGCCCAGGGGACCACATGGAGATGCAGGGCTCCTGAGGGGGCAGGCCGTGACAAACAAGGGAAGCTTCCCCACGAGGCCACTTCATCATGATTCCAAAGGAAAGTTCAGGGCAGCCCAGAGTTACTGAGCTCTTGTTCATCCCTGCCCGCTCCCCCCTGACTTTGCTTTCCTCCTGGTCACAGGGGGCTTTAAGGGAGGCCCTGCTGGGTGGGAGGGCACCACATACTGTTCTTGATAACCAGCAACCACCGCATGTGACTGTTTTATGTATCCTCTAGTCTAGAGATTCTTTGGAAAAGAAAAGAAACTGAGAGCTAGGAATGTGGCTCTTGATGGAGCGCCTTGCCAGGTGTTCTTCTTGTACCTTAGTGTGTGTAAGGGCCTGGGTTCCATCCTCGGCACTGAAAAAGAAAAATAAATAATTTGTTTTTTAAACGTGGGAAGTGTATGTGTTAAGCAAGGTGAAAAAGTCAAAAACTGAAAGGCAAAGCTGGCTGGAGGTCCACAGAATCAGAAGCTGAACGTCTAGGTCCCCAGAGGCCCAGGAACCTCAGAGGTGCCTCTGGCTCTCCATAGAACAATCTGGGGCTGGGCGCTGGTGGCTCACGCCTGTAATCCTAGCTATTCTAGAGGGCTGAGATCTGAGGATCTCAGTTCAAAGCAGCCAGGGCAGGAAAGTCTGTGAGACACGTATCTCCATTAAACCACTAGAAAAACTAGAAGTGGCGCTGTGGCTCAAGCGGTAGAGCACTCACCTTGAGCTGAAGAGCTCAGGGACAGCACCCAGGCCCAGAGTTCAAGCCCCACAACCGACCAAAAAAAAAAAAGAACAATCTTGGAGGACCCTGATGAGGGAGTACTTGAGCTACCAGATCCCTGCACAGGTGTCTGTATGGATGTAAGTAGGGGGTGTGGACCTGGAATGAAGTGACAAAATTCTGATGGTCATCAGACTTGAAAGTCTTAACTTGGGATAAGTTGAGGTGATGTCTGAGAGCCCCCTCATTAAGGGACTCACTTGAGTGTGGCTTTTTCCTGGTGTACTTGGTAGCTTTTTATTTTTTTTTCTGTCCCCCAGGGTCACCAAAAAAACTGATCCCAAAGGCTTGAGATGAACATCTTGAGGCTGTACAGGGCGAAGCAGAAACAATTCCTCTCTCTTCACTTGGATGATCAAGAACTACGATCATCAAAGACTAGGCTAGCACAAGTCATAGTGGTTCATGTTTATAATCCTGACTACTAAGAAGACAGATCAGGAGGATTGTGGTTCAAGGGTAGTCTGGGCTAAAAGTTCAACAAACCCCATCTTAACCAATGAAAAGTTGGGGTGGTAGCCTGTCATCCTAGCTGTGCAGAAAGTATAAATAAGATCATGGTCAAGGCTAGCCAGGGCATAAATGCAAGAGTCTACTTTAAAAAATATTGGAAGTAGCCAGGCTCTGGTAGCTCACACCTGTAATCCTAGCTACTTAGGAGGCTGAGAGCTAAGGATCACGGTTCAAAGCCAGCCCAGATAGAAAAGTCTGTGAGACTCTTATCTCCAATAAACCACTCAGAAAACCGGAAGTGGTGCTGTGTCTCAAGTGGTAGAGGGCTTGCCTTGAGCTGAAGAGCTGAGGGACAGCACCCGGGCTCAGAGTGCAAGCCCTACAACCGACAAAAAACAAAAAAACTTACCCAGTTGGGGTATGGTAGTGTAGTAATACATATTTATAATCCTAGCACTTGGTTGGCAACAGGATTGAGTGTTGAGGCCAGCCTGGCTCATGTAAGGATACCCTGTCTCAACCAAACATTTTGTCTCAACCAAACATTTTGAATTCTCCCCCAGAGAACCTTTTAAAGAAAAATGTAGGCTGAGCGCTGGTGGCTTACACCTGCAATCCTAGCTACTCAGGAGACAGTTCTGAGGATTGTGGTGTGAAGCCAGCCTAGGCAAGAAAGTCCATGAGACTCTTAAACTACTCAGTAAAAGCCAGAAGTGGAGCTGTGGCTCAAGTGGTAGAGTACTATCCTTGAGCACAAGGAGGTTCAGGGACAGCACCTAGGCCCTGAGTTCAAGTCCCAGGACTGGCAAAAAAACAATCCATAGAACCAGTTCAAGTGGCTTTGTGTGTGTGTGTGTGTGTGTGTGTGTGTGTGTGTACGTGTGTACCTTGCACTCTGCTTGGCTTTTTTACTCATAGCTGGTTGCTAGCATTTGCTGGTGGTTAAGAGTGACTGTCTTAGCTGGGTGCCGGTGGCTCATGCCTGTAATCCTAACTACTCAGGAGGCTGAGATCTGAGGATCGAGATTCAAAGCCAGCCTGAGCAGGACAGTCCATGAGACTCTTATCTCCAATAAACCACTAGAAAACCGGAAGTGGCACTGTGGCTCAAGCGGTAGAGTGCTCACCTTGAGCTAAAGGGTTCAGTGACAGGGCCCAAACCCAGAGTTCAAGCCCTACAACCGACAAAAAAAAAAAAAAAAAAAAGACAGACTTGCTGGCATTGGGTGGCTCATGCTTGTAATCCCAACTATTCAGAAGGCTGAGATCTGATTGTTGTGGCTTAAAGGAAACCTGGGCTGGAAAGTCTGAAACTTTTTTTTTTTTTCTGATCCTGGGGCCTGAACTCAGGGCCTGGGCACTGTCCCTGAGCCTCTTTGTGTTCAAGGCTAGCACTCTACCACTTGCCACGGAGCCACTTCTAGCTTTTTTGAGTAGTTAATTGGAGATAAGTCTCTTCCAGGGACTTTTCTGCCCAGGTTGGCTTTGAACCACAATCCTCAGATCTCAGCCTCCTGAGTAGCTAGGATTACAAGCATGAACCACTAGTGCCTGGCTCTGTGAAACTCTTATGTCCAGTTAACCAGCAAAAAGCTGGAAGTAGAGGTGTGGCTCAAGTGGTAGAGCACCAGCCTTGAGTGAAAAAGGTAAGGGATATGCACTGAGGCCCTGAGTTCAAGGCCCAGTATTAGCACAGTAAGTAATTTCTCTCTCTGGTTTATCCTGTAATCCAACTGGGAAGTTGGAAATGGGGCCGGATCAGGCAGAAAGTTAACAAGACCTCATGTTAACCAACCAGCTGGGTGTGGTGGCATGTACCTTTATCCGTGCTGCGGAGAGGCATAGACAGGAAGATCATGACTGATGGCTGCTTGGAGCAGAAACATGAGATGCTGTTGGAAAAATAACTGCAAAACAAGGCTGGGCGGGGTACAGCATCTGCCTAGTAAGTACAAGGCCCCAAATTCAAACCCGGTACTACAGGAAAACAAAACAAAACTCCCCACAAGCCCCACTGGCCCTGAAAAGACCACCTTCAGAGATCTTAGGTTCTACCTTTTATTGACACACAGGAGAAAGGGATTGGACACCAGTCCAGCCTTGTGAAAGTCCACAGCTCTGTTACCTCCCTCATACCTCAGCCCCAAATTAGCACCAAATGCAAAGATTTCCATACCCCTAAAGCCCATCTGAGGTTTCCTCACACACAGCCTTCCTTTCCTTCTCGTTCTGTGGTTCCTTCAAGGAAGGAGCCATTTTTAGGGATGAGAAGCTACCCCAAAGCCCAACCCTGACGTCCAGTGCCTGGGAGGAGGCAGGTGAGTGACAGGGCCAGCTGACAGTATGACCCCGCTGCCCTCCTGGGGCTGCCTCTGCCTGAGGATCCAGGAAGAGCTATAGGGTCACTCAGCTCTGATTTCATGTCCCAGGAGAGCTGCCATGACGGGAATGGGATGGGAGGTGGCAGGGATGGGGGGAGCAGGGGGGTTTGAAGGACATACTAAGAGCAAGTTTGAGGCCCTCAGCCTGGCTAAGAGTCAAGTGATGAGGATAGGAGATGTGGGTGTGGGGCCAGCAATAACGCTAGGCAACCCTGGACACTGCAGTCCCAAATTGACTCAGCAGCTCCGAGCATCTCAGGGAGGGGTTTGGGTTTGGAAGAGCAAATGGCTTCGAGGTCTGTGCTGTGCATTGAAACCCAGGGCTGGTGGGAAGCCCAGGGACGTCTCCCCTAGCACTTGTCCCGGGGCTCCCAGAGTTAACAGAGAGGTGGGGGGGGGACTGTTGGCAAGGCCAGTCTCCTGCCACTGTCCCCCTAACAGAGGGCTTCTGTGTCTGAGGCCAGGCCCTCAGAGTTCCTCATGGACCCGTTCCTGGTCTTCATCTGATTTAAGCTTGAGCTCCTCGGCTATGATCTTGCCGTCATGGTTGCGGTCCTGGTTCTGGAACATGTCCCCTATGGTTTTCTCAGGGTCTTGCCCAGGTAAGAGCCGTCCCTTACCCTCATTCACTTGAGCCTTGATGAAGGAGGAGAACTGTGGGGAGAGGAGGGCAGGAAGTGAGGATCGTGATGGAGTAGCCATGTGGATGGACCTAAAAGGAAACCTAGTGGAAACCTGCCAGTGGCTTTTTTTGTTGTTGTCAGTTGTGGGACTTGAACTCAGGGCCTGGATGCTGTCCCTGATTGCTTTTGCTCAAGGCTAGTACTCTACCACTTAAGCTACAGCACCATTTCTATTTTTTCTGAGTAGTTTAGTGGAGATAAGAGTCTCATGAGCCCGGCGCCTGTGGCTCACGCCTGTAATCCTAGCTACTCTGGAGGCTGAGATCTGAGGATCCCAGTTCAAAGCCAGCCTCAGCAGGAAAGTCTGTGAGACTCTTATCGCCAATAAACCACCAGAAAACCTGAAGTGGTGTTGTGGCTCAAATGATAGAGTGCTAGCCTTGAGCTGAAGAGCTGAGGGACAGCTCCCAGACCCAGAGTTTGAGCCTCAGGACTGTCCAACAACAACAACAAAAAATCTTACTGACTTTCCTGTCTGGGCTGTACTCGAACTTGGATCCTCAGATCTCAGCCTCCTGTAGCTAGGATTTACAGGTGTGAGCTACTAGTGCCTGGCTCTACCAGTGTTTTTATTCCCAGTGCCCTCCTCAATTCAGGTCGGGGAGAAAAGAGCACTGGTGAGGGTGTGGCCGTTGTTTAACACAGCCTGTGAGGGCGTGGATGTGTGAGGGTGTGGCTTAAATTTTGTCCAGTCTAGCTGGGTGGGAGGAAGAACCAGCTACACAAGTGCGGGGAGGAAAGGCTACAAGGCAATGCAAGAAAAGGGAAGGCAGTGGCTCAGCACTAGGGCAGAGGGCGGGCAAGGGAGGGTGAGTGTGGCCCGTGTTGGCGAGATGTACATGCATGGACACCCACATCCTTATTGGGGTGCTTGTGACTGAGCTCCTAACCCACCTCCTCGGAGGGGACTTCTCCATCCTTGTTGAGGTCCATGTATTCAAACAGGTTGGCTGGAGGGTCCTGGTGCCACACGAACAGGTAGCCTGTGGGCAGCCCGTCTTCCCGGGACACCAGTTCCACCTCAAAGAGCAGCACAGCACTGCCTGGCACACCTCGGGCTGGCAGGAGGAAAGAAACGAAATAGAGAAAGGGCCTAGAAAAGCCAGGGTGGGCCTGGCTTTCAAAGCCTTCCCAATCCACGGGCCCTCAGTTTCTCACTCTGGAGGTTATGGAATGAAGTATGGGATGTTTACAGAATCATCCCTGGCCCCTCTCACCAGCCACTGAAGCCTGAAGCAGCCACAGGGATGAAGGAACACCAGTCGGACCCAGGACTCAGTCTCTCACCTCCACTTTCCCCATGGGCCAGGTGCGGCGGCACCACCAGCTGTCGCCTCTCTCCCACACACATGCCCTGCAGGCCCCTGTCCAGGCCTTCAATCACTTTGTTGGCCCCCAGGGTGGCCTCCTGGGGAGCCCCATAGTCATGGCTGTAGGAGAAGATTCACAGTTCAGCATCTGTTCTTGTTCCCTGCCAGTTCACAGCTGAATTCTCCCCCAGGTGGACTTAAGACAAACGCTCAATTCCAGAGACACCCCCTCCTACAGCCCACCCACCAGCAGTGTGGGGGCCCAAGAATACAGGCATGGGGGTCACTTCTGATCTTGCCAATGCCCCCTTCCCTCCATGGCCCTGAGGGCTCATCTCTCCAGTTGCCCTACGTAATAAGCAATCAGCAGGTAGGGTATCAGTAGCTCATGCCTATAATACTAGCTACTCAGCAGGCTGAGATCTGAGGATCAAGATTCGAAGCTACCCGGGGCAGGAAATTCTGTGAGACTCTTCACTTAACCAGCCAAAAGCCGGAAGTGGAGATGTCATTCAAGTGGTTGAGTACCAGCCTTGAGCAAAAAAGCCAAGGGGCAGCACCCAGGCCCTGAGTCCAAGCCCCAGTAATGGCACAAAACAACAAAAGCAAACAGTAATGCTGTCTTCCTCCAGTGCTGCCTTCTGAGTCACATAGCACATTCTTTTTTTTTTGGGTCCGGTTGTGGGGCCTGAACTCTGGGCCTGGGCGCTGTCCCTCAGCTCTTCAGCTCAAGGCTAGCGCTCTACCGCTTGAGCCACAGCGCCACTTCCGGCTTTTTTCTTTTTGCTTATGTGGTGCTGAGGAATCGAACCCAGGGCCTCATGCATGCAAGGCAAGCACTCTAC